TCCTGTAAGAAGGGAAATCTTAATTGTGCTAACGCAACTCAGGAGTCTGAAATGGTATCTAAATAGCTCTCCAAGCTCTCCAAGACCAGAGTCTACATTCTTCCAATGTTAGGGGCACTTTATAAGCCACACACAGTCAGGGAGGGGAAAGTGAACACGGGGAGAGAAAATCAAAAATGTTTGATTTTCTCTTATCAGGGCAGCTTTTGAGACAAAAGCCTATCTTCATTTTTCAGTATTTACTGCTGCTACAGAGCTTCACAGAGAGGGTGTACAAATGCTTAATGTTGATGTGAAGGTGGAGAAAGGGAGGATGTCAGAAAAGAGGGTGGAGTCATTTTTTCTAGAAAGACACAAACCAGCTAAAGAAGTTAATGTCTTTAATTTATCAGCTTAGTTCTTACCAGGATTACATTCATTTTACATTAAAAAAATTTTTGAGCACATATTTTTGAGCACATGTTCAAAGCACTAAGTTATATACTGAAGATAAAACAATGGGTAAAATTCTCAGGTGAAAAGTAACTTTAAAAAGAAAGAAAAACAAATGGGTAAGAAACAATCGCTTCTATCAGTGACTATAAACTCTGGTGTGAATGACAATTAAGTAGCTCATCACAAATCAGTATGAGAGAGGGATAGAATGGTCTATTTCCCATTAACAAACCAGTTAATAACTATGAGAAAGTATACCACAGGAAGGCCAATTCATTTCAAGAAATATTTATTGTGAGGCCCATTTTATAACCAAAAAAAACCTTGAAGTGCTTGTTAGTGTCACTTTGATTCTCATTGATGGATTTCAAATTCAATTTATAATAGTAACAATAATATCATTCAATGTTTACAACTTTTATTAAGTGTTCAAGCATACTGAACATGGTTCTAAGAAGCACTGTAGATGTTTTAACCCATTTAATGACCACAAGAAATTGAGGTCAGCACTACCATTACCTGATACTTTATGTCCAAAAAAAAAAAAAAAAATTAACATGGGGGTACAGAGTGATTAAGAAACCTGCCGTATGTTATACAACTAGTAAGTACTAGAGCAAAGTTGGAAACTCTAGCAGTCTAGGTTTAGAGTCAGTGTTTCTAACAAATATGCTACTTTGTTTGACCAGAAGGCCTCCTTCAGACCAGGCTTCCCTATTAGCAAAATAGCTGCTACACCTTAGCTACCCACAGCCCTCATTATACCTGAGCTCAATTTGCTTTATGTACCCAAAATAGCATTTATCCTCAGAAAGGCTCAAGAGCCTGATTATTCATCACCAATTGAGACAGAAGATGCAGAGGCCCTACCTGATGAAGAAGACCCTCTGACTTGTTACAGGAGGAAGGAAAGGGATGAAGCGGGGTAGGAAGAAGGAGCAGATGAGGGAAGACGCACTTCGATAAGCCTTTAAGCTATTCAAGGTGAGTTCAGAAAAGGAGCTAGGTAAAAAAATGAACATTAACTGGAGAAAACATAACCATGCAGTAATAACACCCGCAAGTAAGAGAATGACTGGGCTAGACACAAAACCTCGTCAGAAGAAACACACTGACAATATTTTATTTCTTCTGAGGAGCCCCCAGCCTTTCATTAACCCTTGTTAACTAAGAACAGCAGGAGTGGGAGAAAGGAGGATTATGAGTCATTTGAGATACTTTGAATTTGAGGTGCCTGTGGTACATTCCAACAGAAATGCTCACCAGGCAGTTGGAGATGCAAGTCTGCAGCTCAAGGAAGAGGTCTTACCTGACCCCAAATCTCCTGGGTCCTCACCTCCAGCTCTAGCCAAGGTACTGCACTGCCTCCCTCTGCTTTTGGCATATTCCTCAGGAGAAACAATGAGTCTTTCTTCAGTTCGGATTACTAACTTAAAAGGTTTTAAAGTAAATTTTACTCAGAGATCTTGGCTAATTTTGACTAGCAGGCACCTGGATATTGGCACACCCCTCCACGAATGCTTGTGAGAATACCAGCTTGTGAGAATAAGTGATCAGCCATGCAATCTAGAACTGCAGCCTGAAAATGGGTGGCCACTGCTTGCCCCTGCCCTTCAACTGATGGGCAATAGGAACATGATTTATCTTGCCTGCTCTCCAGAGAATGCCAGAAAGAAAAGGTGTCAAAAACTTGGCATGCCATTTACCCACATTCGCTATCTCCTGGATGACTAAAAGGTGGCAATAGCTGGGAGCAGTGGCTCACGCCCGTAACCCCAACAGTTTGGGAGGCCTAGGTAGGAGGATTGCTTGAGCCCAGGAGTTTGCGACCAGCCTGGGCAACATAGCAAGACCTTGTCTCTACTAAAAATAATAATAATAAAAAATTAGCCAGGCATGGTGGTACACGCCCGTAGTCCTAGCTATATGAGGTGGAAGGATTGCATGAACCTGGGAGACTGAGGCTGCAGTGAGCTATAATTTACACTACTGCACTCCAAACTGGGCAACTAAGTGAGACCCTGTTGGAAAAAAATTTAAAAATAAATAAATAAATGGTGGTCAGAATATATTATATTGATACTTGCAAATGCCATTTGTTACAGTTGACTTTTCAAAATACCACTCAGTTCTCATATTTCAACATAATTTAATATTACACTTTTTTAAACATGAGAATTAAATAATTATCATGGTCTGTAGAGCACTCAAAAGAGCAGTTCAGGTCTTTAGAGAGCCTAAGGAAAGTTGAGTTCTTGTATTTACAATCAAAACAAGCTAGGAAAAATAAAATTGGAAATATGACACCCTCTTAACTTGGGCTACACCAGGGATTTAGGATGGTTAAGGAGGCTTTGTGATTAAAAACCTAAATGAATGCCAAGAAACCAAAAAACTACTGAGGTTATTTGCTAATCAGAAGGTGCAACTGCTTGTACATGAGCTCAAGGCAAAGCTATCATTCTGCTAGGCACTGGGCTTACAGCAACTTGTATGTCCCTTAACATCTTTTTTTTTTTTTTTTTTGAGACAGTCTCCCTCTGTCGCCCAGGCTGGAGTGCAGTGGCACGGTCTCACTGCAACCTCCACCTCCCAGGTTCAATCGATTTTCATGCCTCAGCCTCCCAAGTAGCTGGGACTACAGGAGCGTGCCACCAAGCCCAGCTAATTTTTGTTCTTAGTAAAGACAGGGTTTTGCCTTGTTGTCCAGACTGCTCTCTGACCTCAAATGATCTGCCTGCCTCAGCCTCCCAAAGTACTGGGATTACAGGCATGAGCCACCATGCCCCGCCATGTCCCTTAATATCTAATCAGTCATCAAGTACTGTGCTTTAAAATATCCTTTTTTTAGCCAGGTGTGGTGGCTCATGCCTGTAATCCCAGCTACTTGGATGGCTGAAATGGAAGGATTGCTTGAGCACAGAAACTCAAGACCAGCCATAGCAACATAGCAAGACCCCATCTCTAAAAAAACCTGAAAAAATTAGCCGGGCCTGCCTGTAGTCCCAGCTACTTGAGAGGCTGATGTTGGAGGATCCCATGAGCCTGAGAGTTTGAGGCTGCAATGAGCTACAATTACACCATCGTATTCCAGCCTGGGAGACAACAAGACCTTGTCTCTAAAAAAACAGATTTTAAAAGAAGAAAAAATATATATAACATCCTTTTCTTTTCACTCGCATGCTCACTACCCTTGGTTAGATGTAAGACTGGTGAGAGCCTAGCAGAGAAGACAAGGAATTACAAGTCATGAATTAGAACGTAAAAAATAAAGGATTTGAAAAGGATGAATTTCAGGAACACTGCATTTCCTTAACAGACATACTAAACTATATCCTTGCCTTGGGTTACACTTATAAGCTAATTTTTATAATTAAAATGTTGAATGCATCAATAGAATACCATGCAATGATAGAAACTGAAGTAATACTAAAACAGCAGTGAAGTACCAAAAATGGTCTCCCAGTTAATTGAGTAGAAGTCATCTACATTAAAGGTTGAGTAGGGTGACTGAGAGTCATTAGTAATAAAAATTGATAGCCTGTATAAATGAGATTATCTCAAAGGAAATTCTGGGGAAAATGGAGAGAGAGTTTGTTGTGTTTCACAGAAGAGCAAGTTCATGAGTACGTATTCATGTGCACACATATGTGAATAAAGTATGAGGAGAAAGGAAATTCAAGACCCTCTGCCATGAGGGAGGGCCTAACCACCCTCTCCAGCCATTTCCTGTCACTGCTGGCTACAGGGTCCTTTGCTATACTTGCCAGGGTCTGCTTGCTCTCTTCTGCACGCCCTTCTCCCCACCTTTGTTTACACTGTAACCCTGACCAAGTGCCATGTCCTGTGATGCTCTGTCTGCATCTTAGTGTCCTTCCAGATGTAGCTCAAGTTCCATGTCCCCTTGCAAGCCAAGCCCTTCCTGAGAAGCCCAACCCACAGTGTCTTCTCCTTCTTCTGTCCTCTTATGGTCACTGCCACTCATTCTTATATGGACAGTAAAATGAAAGCCCCTCCCACACATTTCAATGGCCCATCTACTGTCTCTCATTACCAAGTACCTTCTTGAGTCTTTGCTGGTGTTGGATCCCCTCAGCTAGAAGAAAAGTTCTTTAGGGCAGGGATTGTGTCTTCACACATCTTTAAATCCTTCCTAGCATACGCTCAGCCCAACGTACGATCTACTGTAAGAATAGGCAGTATCATACAATGTGCACAGGAAAATACTATTAATACATTAAGTATGACAGTATTCTAACATACAAGATTAGAAAGGAAGAATTTACCATAATTGTCTTTTCACTGAATACCTCTTAGGAAGATACTAAGACTGTTGACTTGAGGCCTGGTAAAGTACATAAGAAAATGGAAGAGGGAGCTTAGATAAGCAAGGCCAGATGTGGATGCTGGAGCGTAAGATTCTCGTGAGGCAGATTAAGAGAGACAAAGGAAAAATCAGCAATGATTCAGTAGAAGTCAGATATAAAAACATATAAGCTTATCTGAGTCACAGCCCCAAAAGAAAAAAAAAAAAGGAAATAAATAAATAAAATTTAAAAACATACCGGTATTTCCTTGAGCATCTTCTATCTTATTTGGTGAGGGCAACAGAAAAGATGGCCTGGTGACGTGCGGGCCTTGAAGCGATGGCTGCTGCTGTTGCTGCTGCTGCAGAGGTGTGGTTTTGAGGACCACCCTCCAGTCCACTTGGGTAATATCTGATCGTGATCGAGCATGCCCTGGCTTGAAAGTTGAGGTCTCATCCAGTAAGTCATTTACAGAACGAGGCCGGTCCCTCCGACGCTGACAGATATTGAAAAAATTAAAGGTTGATGCTTCCTTTTGTTCCATCCAGGAAAGATTATCTGGGGTTGTCCCTCTCTGGACCATAAACTGTTCTTTGGCAGGGAAGACATTTTGAGCTTTGGTTTCTAAGAGCCTGCTCTTACAGTGGTCCCAAATCATGCCCCCCTTGCCCAGGGAGGTGACATTTCTCATAGCACCATTGTCTGTTATGTTACTGAGTACCTCATGCCCCACCAGTTCAGGGACTTCCTGGATCCCATAAACCTCTGCTTGCTGCACAGCCTTTTCTAGCTTACTATCCAAAGTACTAAAGAACTCCTCCGTAACTTCTAAGGCCGGGCTGATATCATCCACTTCCAAAGCTTCCATGTCACAGGCTCCAGGAGGCCTCAGCCTCCTAAGCTGGTTCCAGAAACGGCTTCATGAACATTCACCCAAGAGGGGTGCTTCAGCAATACAGCTATGGAAACAACTGGAAGAAACCTTCATTGGGCTTCCTGGAGCAGGCCAAACACAAAGGTGGTTGATGTTTTCCCAGTAATTAAAAGCATTTGCTACTGGCTAATGGACATTAACAGATGTATAGGGAGACCAAATGTTCCTTTGAGATTATTCTTCAGCAAGACCTCTGTGAAGACAACAGGAAGTACTTGTCAAAGCAACGCCATGCCAATCCTTGATTTCCTGGAAGAAAATAAACAGGATAACGTTGGCACATGGTTCATTGTATTCTACAGTACACAAATCTGCCGAATTGCTTTCCCACTTCTACATCCGTCCGTTCTATGGCAGTCAAGCACAAAGGCAGACAACACCTACACAGAAGTGCCATTGTCAGGAATACATATCACTACCTGCTTTGGATAAAAACTTAAACGGAGCAGGGAGGAGCACTTGATAAGAGGAATTAAGGTCAATAGCTTTTACTCACACAGAGAAAATGCTTTGAGAGCATTTGTGAAAAGACTGCCCTGGCAAATCTCTGATATGCTGACCTAAAATAGTAAGCAAAAGAGACTAGGAATTCTGTGACTGGGACTGTATCGTAATCAGTCTAAAAGTCATAAATGCCTGAGTCCTTTCACCAACTTTGAAGGCACTGATGATTTGCTGGGTTTAAAGGTGCCACAGGGAAGCAGAGAAGAAGGTTCTGCCCTTTTTTTAAATCCAAATGTGACTGTGCTTGTGCTTCTTAGACTTAGATTATATAATGCTTGATGATGACGCTGGACTTCAGAACTGCTCTGGCGTTCTTAGAGTTTCAGGCTCCAAACTCCCCGAGACTTCCAGGATCGGCCTCAGAGTATGGGTCCGGTCTGCAGGGTGTCTAAGAGCTGAAGGTGAAGTCACGGCCTGAGTGGCAGGCTTGAGTTCATCCTTTTCTCTCTACAGAACTCAAGTTCCAAACCTTACATCTCTACCTGGGCAGAAAGAATCCTACATAAGTAGTAACCCGTGCTTTCAAATACTGGATTACCAAGGCCGGGCCAAATTAGAGCAGACCTTGACAGTGATGCTGTCCAGTACAGTAGACAGCAGCCATTATGACCATTCAAATTTAAATTTAGTAAAATCAAAGTTCCTCAGTTACACTAGTCACATTTCAAGTGTCCAACTGTCACACATACCTTTGTATCTTTACCAAAAAAATAAAAATAAAAATAAAACAACTAGGCAAGGGCTTTTTAAATCCTTAACTACTTACAAGTAGGCAAAACTAGGCAACTAGCAACACCATTATATATTGACATGGTTTGGCTGTGTCCCCACCCAAATCTCATCTTGAATTCCTACGTGTTGTGGGAGGGACCCAGTGGGAGGTAATCAAATCATGGGGGCAGGTCTTTCCCGTGCTGTTAGTGTGATAGTGAGTAAGTCTCACGAGATCCGATAGTTTTAAAGGAGGAGTTTCCCTGCACAAGTTCTTCTCTTGTCTGCTGCCACATGATACACGCTTTTCACCTTCCACCATGATTGTGAGGCCTCCCCAGCCATGTGGAACTGTAAGTCCAATAAAACTCTTTCTTTTGTAAATTGCCCAGTCTAGGGGTATATCTTTATCAGCAGCGTGAAAACGGACTAATACATACATGTTGTCACAAATGTACATAGATGTGGTTTCTTTGTAAAAACTTCACAATTTTTATGATTAAATTCATTTTTTCCACTTAGGTCATTAAACCATTACATTTATATCAACAGCACCAATCTACTTAGCTTAACATATGTAAATTAAACTCATATATACAGACCTTTATTTTAGATGTATCAAGGAGGTTTGCAGTTCATAGGATCTCTATAGAACCTCCTGCAAAGTGATAATGACTATGAATTTGTCTACTTTTACATATTTTGATATTTATTATGTTAGTACTTCATGAAGCAAGGCATGGATTTATTTTTAGAACTATATACTAGTTATAAAACATTTCTAGCTGTAAACAGGGTTATTTTTTCTGAGTCTAAAGTTAAACCTTCAGTCTCTCCAACTGTGTAACAGGGTTTTAGTGCTTCTATAATTTTGAAACTTGGGATATTTTTCAATTTCATCTTGTATACCAGAGACAGAAATATACATAAATATAATAAATCTTGAAACTTTTCATTCTTTCCTTACTAAAAACTGAAACGAACATAAACAAAGTACAAGTTTCCCAATGTATAAGAGGCTCCAAGGTTCAGAGTATTAAGTTGTTCACTGAAGATTACTGATGTTCCTTTTCTCATCCAATGTTTCAAATTCAGTCTTTACTCATGACAGAGAAAGTGTAAATAACCTTCAAAGTAATTGTTTCTTTCTCTTTTTTTTGATTTATCGAACTATCTAGATATATTATTTTTTATGCTTCTGGCTTGGTATTTGCAGGCTGGTTAGAAGTATATAACAGGCCAGGTGCAGTGGCTCATGCCTGTAATCCCAGCACTCTGGGAGGCAGGCAGATCACTTGATCCACCAAGAGTTTGAGACCAGCCTGGCCAACATAGTGAAACCTCATCTCTACTAAAAATACAAAAATGAGCCAGTGATGGTGGTGTGCACCTGTAGTCCCAGCTACTCAGGAGGCTGAGGTGGGAGGATCATTTGAACCAGAGAGTCGGAGGTTGCAGCGAGCTGAGATCGCACAATTGCACTCCAGCCTGGGCAACAGAGCGAGACCCTGTCTCAAAGAAAAAAAAAAGAATGTATATAACCATTGTTGGCCATGCTGGTTGGTGGAATACTTCTAACCCACATGGTCTAAAGCCATAGACTGTTAGACAAGGAAACTGGCCTTTGGGATTATCTTTTCGACCTTAGTATTTCATAGAAGAAGCCACTGAGGCCCAAAGAAGGGAAGAGGATGTTCTTAAACATGCAGGCAAGTTTTCACCTTAGGGCCTTTGCATTTGCTGTTCCCCCAGACACCCCAACACGGACAACTCTCTCCTTAGCTAACTGTTCATATGACCCTCCCTGACCACCCTCTTTAAAATCATAATGCCCTTCTCTGCCCTAGACTCTTGATCTCCCTTACTCTGCTTTTGTTTAAATAAACTTTTCATTTTAAAACAGTTTTGTTTGTTTCTGTTTTTGTTTTGAGACGGAGTTTTGCTCTTTCGCCCAGGCTAGAGTGAAGTGGCACAATCTCAGCTCACTGCAACCTCTAGCCCACCGCGTTCAAGCAATTCTCCTGCCTCGGCCTCCTGAGTAGTAGGGATTATAGGTGTCTGCCATCATGCCTGGCTAATTTTTTTATTTTTAGTAGCGACGGGGTTTCCCCATGTTGCCAGGCTGGTCTCGAACTCTTGAACTCTGGTGATCTGCCCGCCTTGGCCTCCCAAAGTGCTAGGATTACAGGGATGAGCCACCACTCCCGGTCAACAGTTTTATATCTATAGAATTATTACAAAGATAATACACTCAGTTTCTATATACCCCATGCTCAGTTTCCTCTATGTAACATCTTACATTAGTATGATACATTTTTCACAATTAATGAACCAATATTGTTACATCATTATTAACTTAAGTTATACTTTCTTCAAAATTCTTCAAATTTCCCTAACGTCCTCTATCTATTCCAGGATCCTATACAAGATACCACATGACATTTAGTTGTCATGTTTCTTGGGCCTTGTCTTGGCTATGATAGTGTCTCAGACTTTACCTTTTTTTGATGTCTTTGACAGTTTTGAGGAGTACTAGTCAGGTATTTCATAGAATGTTCCTCATTTTGGATTTGTTTGATGTTTTTCTCATCACTAACCCAGGGCTATATGTTTTTGAAGTACCATTCTCATCATATAATATTAAGGATATATACAATGAACATGACTTACTACTGTTCACTTTAACCTTGATCACCTGGCTTGAGGTACCCTTTTTCCTTAAGCATTTACCATCTTCTAACATACCATTTAATTGACTTATTTAACATTTAGTATTTCTCTCCACTAAAATATAAGCTCTACGAGTCCAGGAATTTGTGTTCATTGTGTTCACTAATGTACCCTCAATACATGGAATAGCGTTTGGAGCGCATGCACACACACACACGTACTAGACACGTGTTGAACAAATGTGTTGCTGTTGTGTTGCATAAGAGATAGCGCCTCATGACCTATCCACTTCTCCAAGTTAAAGTTCTTCACCAACACCCACCTGTTTCACGTGTCCATGTGAAGAGATCACCAAACTGGCTTTGTGTGAGCAACATGGCTGTTTATTTCACCTGGTTGCAGGTGGGCTGAGCCCGAAAAAGGAGTCAGCAAAAGTGGTGGGATTATCATGAGTTCTTACAGGTTTTGGGATAGGTGGTGGAGTTAAGAGCAATGTTTTGGGGACAGGGGGTGGATCTCACAAAGTACATTCTCAAGAGTGGGGAGAATTACAAAGAAACTTCTTAAGGGTGGGGGAGATTATAAAGAACCTTCTTAAGGGTGGGGGAGATTACAAAGTACATCGATCAGTTAAGGTGGGGCAGAAACAAATCACAATGGTGGAATGTCATCAGTTAAGCTATTTTCACTTCTGTGGATCTTCAGTTGCTTCAGGCCATCTGGATGTACACATGCAGGTCGCTGGGGATATGATGGCTTAGCTTGGGCTCAGAGGCCTGACACCACCCACCTTGTTATTTTACTCCTCCATGCTTTTGTCCAAGCTGAGGAGCTTTTCCTAATTGCTCAGGCTCTCATAGCACCCTGGGTTTGCCACATTGTACTGAAATGATCAGCCAATCTCTCTAGATCCTACTCTAAACTCTGAGCTACTTGACTGCAGACACCATGCCCTTCTTACTTATCCTCCTATATACTCTCTGTCTTCATTCTTTTAGGCTCTGTCTTCCAACCTTACTCTTTGGAATTTCATCTTTTTCCTGAGCTCTATAGCTCTCAAATTCACTACAGTACAAGAGTCTGATGTCAAGTTTAATTTCTATAATTGAGTACTTCTTACTAGCTTGCCTCATTTGGTTTTGAAATTAATCAAAATATAATAATATATTCAGATAGGTCAAAATATAAAGGGGACCTTCGTCTGACAAAGTGAAGGGAATAAGATCAGTATGTGGGGGCAGTGTGGTTTGCCTCAGTACAAAATTGGAAATCAGGAGCTAATTAGAACTGTGTTCTAAATCTGGCTCAACCACTCACTTGCTGGGTGGCCTCTAGCAGACCGTTTAACCTCTGCATGCCTTACT